AGTATAGAGGAGGCTGAGGAGCCTGCTCCAGCTCAGTCCGAGCGCTCCGCCTCTTCTATATCCGCATCCTCATCTTCTTCATCGGCGGAGGAGACTGAGCATATACCACCTTCTTCACCACCATCGGCACAGCCCGGCCAGGTCCGAGACAGACCTATCAAGAGATATTCACACCTTTTAATGGCACATGAGTCTGTCTTTGACACTACTTTCTTCTCCCGTTCGATTCTGACCAAGGTGACCTATGATGAGATTGAGCGGCGCGGTATTTCAGCTATTCTTGCCCTAATAGCCTACCCAGTTTACCCGCAGCTTGTTTGGTTATTCTACCAGAACCTCCGACCGGCCCCGAGTAATCTATTAGAGTTACGGACTACTATTGATGGCCATCTCATCCGCATCATAGTCGAGACACTGGCCATATCCTCTCGGTGCCCACACATCTGCCCTCCCAAACTTCAATATCCTATTCTGAGGAGGCCATCTGACACAGACATGGCCGTTGCCCTGACTGGCCCTTACAGTAATGGTGAGACATTCACCACCTGGACTTATTTGCCAGATGATCTATGGTTCTTTGACTCGGTATTGTACCGAAATATATTTATGGTGGGCTATAAGATCCAACAGCGTTCAGATTTTCTTGCTGCCCTCTATGCCTTCTATACGGGCCATTGGTTTTCTGTTCTTGCACTATACTGGAGTGTCATAATGAAACTTTACTCCAGCTACATCAGCAAGGCCAAGCCCAAGCACGCCACCTTCCTTCCATTTGCCCACCTGATTATTCAGATCCTCATAGATTAACACTACCCTTTCCATTTAGAGAAGCAGCCTGAGTCAGGTGCTTGCCGCTATAGCAAGAAGGATTGGGATAAGAGCTACAACGCTCTTATTCGGAGCCTAGAGGATGAGGCAACCTTGGCAACTGAGGAGGCGGAGGAGGCAAAGTTAACAGAGGCAGAGATAGAGATAGCAGCAGCAGCACATGATCGAGCAGACCCATAGGTGGCTGCGAACACACATATGGAGATTGACTTGGAGCAGGAGCCTCTAGCGGAGTCACCACATCACTCTCCGACAGGGTCGCTAGTACATTCTCAGGAGCAGAGTCAGGATGAGCATCAGTCTCCTAACCCAGTCATCCCTGACACTCTAGTTCAAGCACCCGGCCTAGGAGAGTGTATCCAGACCTTAGAGGACGCAGCTGTCTCTCTACTGTCAGATGTGACCTCCCTTAGCACTGACGTGACCACTCTTCGTGTGGACGTCTTGGCTGTACTGCAAGACTTATCCAGAGATATCCGGGGATCACGCCCTGCCAGACCGACATCATATGCCTGACCTCTCTTTCTCTCTCTTTATCATTTTATATATCTGTGATACTTTCCTGTTCTTTTAATACTATTGTTATATTTGTGCGGCCAGTCTGTTGGCCCAAATACTATATTGTATCATACATTGCTTTTATTCTCTCTATTTTATATATGTTATTTCTGGATGTCAGGTTATTATATTGATATATTTATCTGTGATTGACTCCATTATTAGGTACTTCCCAGGGACTTCAGTGAGAGAGTGTTACCCAAAATTTTTCAGGGCCATCCTTATTCCTCTCTCCTTAGCTCAGTTATTATCCCACTTGCACTTGCATGCCCACTGTGCACTGTTATTATCCCCTTTGTTATCTAATTAGCTTTTATTCCACTGCCATTTTTTCAGGACCGCAGTCAATTCTAAGTTTGGGGGGGTTATACCACCCACTTCGGATATTTGTATCCCAGCCATTCTTTGCCGTAGCTGTACTGGTATACTCTCTCATTTTGTTCTCTTTGCATATAAGGACACTGTGCCATTTAAGTTTAGGGGTAATGTGTGTTCTTTGCAGTTTTTGTTTTCAATTCAAAATTTTGAATTTGAGGGATTTTCTATGATTGGTCAATGGCTAGTTATGATTTTGATCTTTTGAGGACTATATTGTTTAAAATTTAAAAATTGCTTGACTTGAGAGTCCAATACTCCTTGTATGCCTTGTGGATGCCATTTAGGAGTAAATTTTTCGAAAGATTGATTTCTTGTTTGCACTTGTGGTCCACATCATCTTGATCTTGTGATTGTTTTGAGACTCACTCTAGGATTCTACAGTAGCACAAGTGCACACTAGTATTCATTTGTGGGATACATGCTTTGTTGATTATTGAATTGGTTATATCCCAACTGGGCTAGTAGTGCATTGAAAGCTTTCATCATGACAAAAGTGGATAACAAACCCTTTTCATTGAGTAGCTGGGATTCTACCCTCATCAAGCACTGAATTTCTAGCGCCGAAAGGTGGAGGGCCCAAACTCTAGGTTAATAATTGAATGCTACAAAATAAAAAATAAAAAATAAAAAAAGTTACAAAAGCAATAAAAAAAGTGAGGACTTCTCCCTAAAGGTGAGAAGTGGGAAATGATTAGATGAAGGTTGTTTTGATTTGTAGCCTAGTTGATTTGAGCTTGTAAGTCCTTAGGGGTGTTTAAGCACCTAATGCCCTAAAGCTGTCTGGTTTAGGAGTCATTGACCTAACGCTCGACCTCATGAATCACTAGAAAGCTTAATGGATCAACAAATTGTACTATGCTTCCATCTTTGATCCTTAGGGATAGACCAAAAAAAAAAAAATGCACCTAGATGAATAAAGCTTTAATAAAAGGTCCACTCTTTATTTTGGTAATCGGGACTAGATTTGTGTGCTAATTTGAGGGTAAGGATGTGATCATTTCTTTAGTTGGCTTAGATAGCAACATATTTGATACTGGTCCACTCAAAAAGGATTCTAAAGTTGTTTTAATTTGCATGATCATTTTTTTGATGTGTTGAGCACCATACTTGCTTGCTTGATGTTAAGATTTTGGGAGATTGCTTGGAAATGGTTGAAAAATTGCATACTTGAGATAATTTTCTCCCAATGCTTGTTTGGAATATTGGTGCCTTTTTTGATAGATTGAGCTAAATGTTTGTGAGTATCATTTCTGGAAACCCTCACGAGACTTCACTCATCCACTAGGGGTAACTTAGGGGTTTTAAAAGGCTTGTTACATGCATAAAATGCAATCGTGCTCCCTACGAAAGTGGCATTATCCATTTATTGCTTTCTAGTTATAGTTGTATAATTGTTCATTTCATTCCTTTACTTTGTAGTTCATTGCTATGAACTAGTAATATTTAAGTTTTATGGGTGTGATGAGCTCTGAAAAGTGTGCATTTAAACCCCTTAAGCTCGAGTATTCTAGGACCTTTATCTATCTTATTTTTCCGTTTTAAACTAATTTAATGTTATTACCCTTTTCAGGCGTTTATCCCTAAAAAAAAGTTAATTCAGCCAAATTAGAGCATAAAAGAAACAATCTCAAGCTAAATGGAAGAAAGAAGCAAAAAGGAGCAAAGTGGTGCAAAATAGCAAGTTTCGATCAATCAGACCAATCTACGATCAATCTCACAGTGATCGATCCAGCCTCACCAAGATAGATTAAACCCTTATCCTTATCCTCAAGAATCTCTATCTTCGATCGATCCAACTTTTCTTTCGATCGATCGAACTTCTTTGATCTTATCCCCACCTACCACTTTTGTCTTTTTCCCAAAATATCCCAAAAATATCTCAGATTTGTCATATTCCAAAAAGGCGCCGCCAAGGTTTGATCGATCTTATCAGAATTCGATCGATCGAATCTCTTTAAGTTTGAAATGAAACAGAGTCCAGCTCATTAAAAGATGGCTCGTAGTGTAATCATTGAAGGGCCCTAGTGCACGAGATCTGACCATTGGGTGTGACATTGGAGCTACCTATATAAGGATTTTGAGCCATTTTTACACAAGAGAGAGAGATAGACAGGGAGGAAGATCATATATCATCATACAACAATAAAATATGAGAGAGCTTAGATATTAGAGACACATACACCATTTGGGAGTTTTTCCATTCATCTAGGGTTTCAAGGAGAAGAAGATCAATCTTACCATGGAGATGGCCCTTAAGGGTTAGATGACTACATCAATGAGTGGCTAAACATCTTCTTAGGGCTAGAGTTAGCCCTAAGCATGCCTTCTAAATCTTGATGTTTTGTATTTTGAGGGGATTTATGTTGTAATTCTTGTCTTGACATTTGATTTATATATGAATCTTGTTTCTACAATGATTTGTGTTATTTAATACTTCCAATTGATTATTTCATTCTATTCATATATCTATGTATGCTAGAATAGATGTTCATGTATATATGTCTAGGTTTTGTGATATTGATGCATATATATGTGTGTTGATACTATGAACCTAGAGATTGTCAAGGCATGGTGCTTTAATAGAATACTCTTGTGGCTTATTTGATGGTTCATACTCATTTCTTAATAGATTGTGCCTCTACCTTAGTTTAATTAGTTTAATTTGCATGTCCTTAGTTTAGTTGTAGTGTAGTTACCTTATTTTCTTAGATAGAAGGACAATCCATGTTTGTTGTTTGATGTTCCATGCTTATGAATACAAGTAGTATAATTCTCTAGCTTGTTAAAGTGTTTGATTGTGAGCTTAAAGGAAGGAATAATGGCTTAGTTTTATATATTGTGCTATTCATTAAGTTGTCTAGACAATATATACTTAATTAGTCATCCATGCTTGTTGATTCAATCAATCACACATATTAGTGTTGTAACATACATTTCCCCTCATTCATTACACATTGAGTATCTAGAAAGGTGATGTTTAGTGGTGACCTCTAAATCCCAAGATCTCTCTCTCTTGTTCTCTACCCTTTATTTACTTTAATTGTTTTGCATTGAATTTATTTACATTGTAGTTTAATTACCCAATCAAACCAGTTTTTGATCACTCGACTTACTAGTCTGACTTTATTTCCATATTAACATTGCCCCCAATCCCTTGGGACAATCCCTAATCGCCCTAGCTATATTAGTAGTTAGAGGTAGTAGTGGCATTTTATAAATTCAAACTTGGCCACTCTTTAACACATTTTAACTTGTCCTTTTGAGGCAACACCAAGTGGTTGAGCTACTGCTGGTGGAAGTTTATGCACCTTAGTTAGAACCTGCACCTGCAATAGAAGTGGTGGTGGAATCGACTTCACTACTGGCGGAATCAACTTCACTGCTAGTGGAATCTACACCATGGTTGGTGGTTGTTTTTGAGCTTGTGGAAGGGTTTGTACTTGAGATTTGGAGCCACTTCCTTCTACCAAGTAAGGCTTTCGTAATTGCTCTCATAACTTTCTTTCTCCATGCTTACCTGAAGTGCATTATGCACTAGTTGAACTTCTAGAGTGGCACGTGAACTTTGATTAAAAAGTTCAATAGCCTGTTCCTTTAAAATATCGACAAGATCTTGAAAATATTTGTCGTGTTCTCTAAAACTTTGGGCAAGATCTTGAAAAGATTTTCCGTGTTGTGCAGGTGGCACCTGCACTGTTTGTACCTGTGGCATGGAATGCACAGGCTGTTGAGAAGGACTCCCCTCAACAAACGTACTTGGCATGTCCACCGGAATGGCTGATTATTGAGTAGTATTGGGTGGAAAGTACGGCTAATTACCTGATTGACCAGCCTGAGCCGTACCATGACAAAACCCAAAATGATGCCAATTGTTAGTAAAAACATCATGACAAACCTGTTAACGAATTACTATAAGATTCTGCACATGTTATTCCACTAGAATAGACATCGATTGTGCATATGGCATCTATATTGTTTGCACCTGTGATATAGCTCGGAAATACTTTTTACGTTCTTCGGCCACCCTTCGGTAGTACTCTTCATGTTCAAAGCTCAGATATGCCATAAGAAAGATTTTTTCCCCGGTTGTCCCACCGAGCGTGCCACTATGTTTGGCCTGAAAAAAGTTGGTACCGATTCTGATGGAACCGGATGGGCATGCCAAGAACTGCAGTAGTTCCAAAGATAGATCCAAACAATATTCCAGAAGGAAGACAGCGAGACCAGGCGATTGTGAAGAGGTCTGGAATGAACACATTTGGGTTCTTTTTGCCTTTAATAAAGGACTTCGGGATAGTTAACTGGTTAGGAAGGAACGAACTACTTAAGAAAGTAATTGAAAAGGCTGTAAAATTATCTAACAAAAAGTAAAGTGCAGGACTAAAACTAATCATATTGAAAGTGCATTGCAATGAAAAGTAAAATTGTATTGAAATACGTATTTGATTTGGCGTTGAGCAAGCCTTCTAAGTTGCAATATCATGCCCTATTTATATAATTTAGTAATGGTAGCTTGCATGTAACCCTTGCTTCCTAAGCTTCCATGTGTCCCATGACTTTGCATGTAACCGCTTACTTCCTTGGCTGCCATGTGTCCCAAGACTTTCCACTGGAATGTCATAGTACCTTTCCATTAGGTCGACCAGCTTCTTAGGCTGCCATGTGTCCCATGACTTTGCATGTAACCACTTGTAACCGCTCACTTCCTAGGATGTGTCCCATGAATTTGCATGTAACCACTTACTTCCTAGGCTGCCATGTATCCCATGACTTTAAATGTAGCCGCTTGCTTCCTTGACTGTCATGTGTCTCAAGACTTTCCACTGGAATGTCGTAGTAACTTTCCATTGGAATCGACAAGCTTCCTAGGCTGCCATGTGTCCCATGACTTTGCATGTAACTACTTATAACCTCTCACTTTCTAGGCTGCCATGTGTCCCATGACTTTGCATATAACCACTTATAACCACTCACTTCTTAGGTTGCCATATGTCCCATGACTTTGCATGTAACCACTTGTATCCGCTTGCTTCCTTGGCTGCCATGTGACCCAAGACTTTCCACTGGAATGTGGTAGTACATTTCCATTGAAATCGACCAGGGTAATCTCCTACTAGAAAGTGGAAAATAAGGGTGTAAACAGTTACACAGAGCAACATTTCTTCAATATTTTAGTAACATCCACGCATAGAACTTGATTTTAATATAAAAACTAAAATGGATAATTTAGAAAGTAACATTACCAGTGCTAGTTGATTTGTTGTGTTTGTTAATTTCCAATCCTAGCATGTCCTTGACCACTCTTCTTCCTTCCTTTCCCAGTTTTGTGTTATTTTCCTTCAAAAATATTTACAAACCATGTTGGTTTTTCAGCTAAGAAGGCAACATAATCCATACTTAATCCAAATAAAAACCCATATCCATATCCCAGCACCACAATTTTCTATGTAATGTTGATGGCTGCGGTGATTTTTTATCATCTACACATTTCTTTGTCAATGGAAAATCGAACAATGCCTGGTTTCCAGAGTATGAATTGTTTTCAAATTTATCAAATTGTTGACCATGAGGTATTGGTCCAACAAGATGATTTTGCGAAAAGTTTAAGATTAAAAGAATTGTTAGGCTTGTCAGTTGCCAAGGAATCTCCCTCACTAACTGGTTTGAAGAGAGGTCTAATGATTCTAGCCGAGTCAAATTTTTCAGAGACGATGAAATATGTCCTGTAATACTGTTGTGAGATAAGTTGAGCAACCGTAGCGAATGAAACATTCCAATGAAGTCAGTAATCTCCCCATGAAAATTGTTGCTCGATAAATCAATAGGTATGAAGATGGTTAGGATTCTTGAAAGTTCAAGCTCTAGCCCTTTCACCACCACCTTAACTAAATCTCGATAATAATTGTACTTCTCCCCGATGTATTCACGACCCACTTTATGTTCATCAACATTCATCATAGCTTTGACATTCTTGAAATATTTTGTAGGCAAGGGGCCGGCGAACTCATTGTGAGAGAGGTCGATTATTCGCAACTTAGGAAAGGGCAGTTTACTGGTGGAAGTATCTATTGCACCTCCAAATCTGTTAGATCGTAGGACAAGAACCTGCAGCTCAAGAAGATCATCCATCCAATGGGGGAATGTGTCAATTATGTTGTTGTTGGCCAGATCAATAACTTCCAATTGTCTATAATTGACCAAACTTTGCGGCACTGGCCCTTCCAAGTGATTTCCACTCAAGTCGAGATTTCTCAAATTATTACACTTTGTAAATATTGCTGCAATAGTCCCATGAAAGTGATTCATTCGCAGATCTAGCACAGAGAGTTCATGGCTAAAGTTTCCCAGACATTGTGGAATTACATTAACCAACCTGTTATTAAATAGATTAAGAACATGGAGGGAGCTCAAGTTGTAAATGGTAGGTGGTATTTCACCCATGAATTCATTTGATTCGAGGTTTAGATAGGACAATTGAGTTAGGTGACCTACCTGAGCTGGGATTTCACCATTTAATTTGTTTTTGCTCATATCAAAAGCATCCAGCAGTTTCAAATTCCTAATCTCAGGTGCAATTGTTCCATTAAGATAGTTGTCAAAGAGGTTCAAGGAACTGAGGCTTGTGAGATTCCCAATTGTTAGAGGAATTGGACCTGAGAGTTGGTTTGCCGAAATGTCCAAATACCATAATTTGTGTAGGACTCCAATCTCAGGTGGAATTTTACCAATGAAGGAATTCTTTTGAAGTTGTAAAGTTTCTAAGTTAGTCCAATTGGTGACAAAATAAGGTGAGATCTCACCGGAAGGAAAATTATCCGATATATACAAACTAAATATCTTGGACAGATTGGACAAGGACAAAGGTAAGGGTCCGATAAGTGAATTCACAGACAGATCCAAGAATGTGAGGTTTGTCAATAGGCCAATTTCAGGTGGAATTTTACAAGTGAAGGAATTGTTTTGAAGGTTTAAAAATTCCAATTCAGTCCAATTGGTGACAAGATAAGGTAAGATCTTGCAGGAAAGAAAATTATCGGATATGGAAAATAGAGATATCTTGGACAGATTGGATAGGGACAAATGTAAGGGTCCGGTAAGTAAATTCATAGAAAGACTCAAGAGTGTGAGCTCAGTGCATAAGCCAAGCTGAGAAGGAACTGAAGAATTTAAGTCATTTATTTGTAGATCAAGTCCTAAAAGCTTTCTGAGTTGGCCTATGGAAGAAAGAATCTTTCCGTGGAATGTATTGTTAGACAGTGAAATGATTTGAAGATCTGAAACTAATCTAATCTCCTCAGGAATTGAACTAACAAACTGGTTGTTACCTAGACCAAGATCTTTGAGCTTCAAAAACTTTGAAATATTTGCTGATAATAACCCTTGAAATGAATTACTAGTAAGATTAAGATATTCAAGCTTGGTAAGATTGGTGAATACCAACTCAGGTATTAAGCCAGTGAAATGGTTGTATAAAAAATAAGGCAAAGTGAGGTTGGGGCAATGGAGTATAAAATCTGGAAATTCAGAGATAAGTTGATTGGAATCAAAGTAAAGATGAGTCAACATAGGTATGCCTGAGAATGTTGACCAATCAGGAGTTTCTAAATTGTTCAATCTAAGGTCCAAGCTCCATACCTTCTAAGATTGCTAACTTGATACGGAATTGTACCATTGAGATTGTTACTGAGAAAACTAAGGTACCCAAGCTCTGTCAAAAACCCAATCTCTAAAGGTATGATACCCTTAAAATTATTGGAACTCAAGTCCAAAACAACAAGCATGGAGAGATTGCCAATTGTAAATGGAATTGGCCCATTGAGTTGGTTCCTACTGAGGTTGAAATGGGTGAGATTTGGAAATGAAATGAAATTGAATTGGGTAAGTGTTCCATTCAAATTTGAATCGAACAAGTTGATCTCGGATACAATTTCAACACTGTGACAAACAATGCCAGTCCAGTTGCAATGATTTTTTATGTCGGTGACAAACCATGAAGTGATGAAATTATTAGAAGATAACAAGCTATTCTTCCATTTTAGAAGAGCTTCTGCTTCTGTCCTTCTTGATGATATGATTGTGGATAGAAGTGAAAAGAAAACAAGAATAAGGAAAAGGAAAATGTAGTGTTTTTGAAAAACTGCCATATTTGATTTTGTTCAAAATTTCATGTCACATTGATTTATAATGAATAATCTAGGGTTGCTTACCACGTGGAGGCACAAAGTCAAGTAAGGCAACTTCCCTCACATATACATAATTATATATTTACACATATATATACACGGACATATCAACATAGACTAAATAAACCAATAAAGCTTTGGGTACTGTAGATCATGTCGAATAATTCTCATTTTTTTTATAAAAATAGCATCCAACTCGCAGTGGTCATTGGAAATTATGAACTCACGGTGGTCATTGGAAACTATGAAAAACAGACGGACAAGTCATTATCTTGTGAAGTCATTTTGGAGTCAAGTTAATACGTTAATACGTTAATATTCATTAACTACATAGGCCAGCTTTTGTAAGTGTAGTCGTTCATATTGAATTCAATTACTCGAGTAATATAGCCCTTATATAATACTCCCTCTATCTAAAATATAAAAAAAAATTAATTTTCGAAAAACTAAGACTAAGGGAGAATTCCCTTCCATCCTATAAAAATTGTCCACTTTTTTTATTTTTAATTGTTCTAAAATAATTTTTCCAATTGAAAAGTGGATGTACTATTGAACCGAGGGAGTACATGTATACAATAACTTACATCCCAACAATGTTTGACTAACTTACAATGTCGATATCAATATGTCTGCATGCATTGTTTTTGGCTCAAATTGGAGTCATTTGTCATTGCCTTGCAATTGCATGAGCAAGAAGAGTTGGGGCCCACATTTTTCATGCATGAAAGGGAAGTTCATTTTGACCGATTTAACGTAGAAAAATTTTATAAGGACCCAATGTGTGAACCAAAGAGAGTCGATCGTTCATATATCAATCTGTTACTCCTATGTTTTATGAAATATTAAAACATTAATTTTTTTTTTTTAAGTATACTTTTATATACACAACAAATCATCCTGATTTTAATAGAGATATGTTACATATATAGGTTTTTTTTTTTTTTTTTTTGGATTTTTCTCACCACACAAAACAGTTCCTTCAAAGGAAAAATCTGACTTACAATCTACCACTTAACAAAGCTATAATTATTTCTAAATCTATTTTGAATGAGATGGCTCACCAAATTAATTCGTTCTCACAAGGAGACAGTACCTAAAGTGACCAATACTACTCTAAATGAGCACAGGTCAATCTTTTTCTTGTTGTAATATGATATGTAAATGCATTTTGAAGGAAGACCTATTATAATTTTTCTCGTTGCTCGATAACTTTTAAGAGGGTATTATATAGATACGATCGCATAGGGTGCTATTGTCGTGAGGAAGATTGCTACAACAGATAATATGTCTGACATGATGACTAAGATCATTCCTATTTTCTAAGTTCAAATATTTTGTGGACGTGATTGGTGTTTGGTGTTTGCAGCACGTTGAGACCATTTGGAACATGTGGATGCGACGAAAGGAGAAGTTGATATTTTGGAGCTATATTAGGATGTTGTGGTTATAAACATGTATGTCCTATTCTAGAAAAACATTAGCAAATTTAAAGATGAAACTAATATGGAAAATTATAAACAAAATTTACTTATAAGCAATGAATTATATAATATGAAAAATCAAGAAAAACAATGTGACGGCCCAAGTTTTGTAAACCCGGTGCGTCAGTGATGACCAAAAGATGACCCGATAACGGATCCGAAATGCGGAAGCGAAAGGTGAAACAATGGTCTCTAGAGATACAATGTATCTCTAAGACACCAATGTGACCCTCAATGAGGTCATCGAACCCAAAGGAAAACAAATGTGGAAGTGTCGTTTCAAAACGGACAAAAAGGAACCTAGGGGCAAAATGGTCATTTTGCAAAAGTGGACTCAAGTGCTATCGAGCACACCGTTGGGAAGAAAATGAAAAATTAAACATAATGGACTCAAGAATTTCATTATTCGGAGTCCGAACGAAGGAGAAAGGTCAAAAATAAAAAATGATGTCGTGGCAGCCCGACGAGGACAGCCCACTACTGCTGCAACTGAGAGTAAAAACGGGCATCTAAACGGACTTTTCTGGAAAAAAAATCATAAAAGAAACCCCCCCTAAAATCGAGGTTCCTACCCCGAACACAAACGGAAACAAAAAAAAAAAAATGCATTGTAAAATGTGCAGAAATGCCCCCAAGAAAATCTGGTCAAATGGGTAAAAATTTCTTCGAGCTGCTGCCCAAGGAAAGGAAATAGGGCTTCGGGAGGTTTTTAAATTGCCTAAATTGAAAATGCAATCTTAAAATATACCCACAAGACCCCTGGAAGTTTCGGATCGGTTGTCACACTTTTTTAAAAAAAGTCGATGAATAGTACCAAGTACATTTGCACTAAAAATCTGCAAAACCTGGCAGCAAGGATTTTTTGGACAAATATAGATTTTTGAGGGCCAAGATGGAATTTTCTGGAAAAACAGAAAGAAGAAACCCCCCTCAAAATTGACTTTTCTACGTGACCCATGAGGAGAAAAGAAAAACACATTGTGATATACCCGAAATGCCCCTGGAACAGAATAAGGTAAAACTCCCTAAAAATGCTACTTAGAGTTTTTGTTTCATCAAGGATGGTGTTGTTTGCCAAAGTGAGTATGCAAATGCATGCAATATGATAAAATAGATGTACCAACATGGCCTAAAACCTCTTTACATTCCATTAACAAGTTTTAGCATACAAAACCTCCATAGTTGATAAAAAAAACATTTTCAAGCAAAATATGGCACCAATTGAATACAAGTGCAAATATAAACTTGCTTGGCCCTTGGTCTCATGTCCTACATGTCACATGTATTAAAAGGAGTGTACTTATATACACTTTACATACGTAGAATCAAAGACTACAAGTTTGATAACATAAAGCTACCAAACGATCCAAGGCAATGAAATCTTCAAGTCTTGAGTCCTGTACCTGAAATATGCCCTAGTATCGTAGAGGTGAGTAACATAAAGCTACTCATAGGAGGTGAGCATGCATCGACCTAGAATTTTACAATTTTATCACCTTAAGGTGAAACATATCAAAGGGGTTCATGCCACCTAACGTCTATGTCAAAATAAGACTCAGGAAGCATCCTAAGCTACCTTAAAACATTTCTAGCATAATCACATTGTTCATGCAATTCAAACAACATTGAAACATGTTATACAAAGCAACAAGATATAGATTCTCAAAGTCTTCAACTTGAAATCCAAGATATAAAAACGACAAGAGTGGGTCATGCCACCTAACGTCTATGTTCAAAGTGAATCTATAAGATCATTCTTAAACTACATTTGAACATCAAAACACAAATTATGATATCGATGCAATTTAACCAACATTGAAACTTCCAATACAATGCTTAAAGCATGATTTCTCAAAGTTAACATCTTGCAACTTAAAATGGGAAATCAAACAAAGAACAGCAAGTTACGATATCATCTAGTTATCAACTTGAAATGAAATACGAAATCAAACAAAGTGGATACTCGGACGTCACGCCGGATAAGACCGACAACATAGTTACTTTAGGGTTACTAGCCCATGGGTAATCTCCTTATGTGCGCACTAGACTATATAGAGGAACAATCCCCCATACTAGAACCAAGTCCTAGCCGTAGCCAACAACGACATCCCCAAGTTTCCAAAATCAACAAATTATGCAACAACGTATATATATCAACATGTATATACAAGATATCAGCCATTTACTAAGCACAACCCAAATTTTTGGAAACATATACAATACATGCTCAAAGTCTACAACTACTATGGGATGAAAGATGTCAAATATAATGTGTGCAATTCCTTACACATACCAATAATATATTCAATAAGGAAAAACATATTCTCATGAATATAAAAGTAATAACTATGTTATCCAATGCTCAAAAGTAATCAAGTGAACATACACCAAATCCAAATCCATGATTTAAATATAAAAACAACTTCCAAAATGCAATTAAATCCATGGAGTAATAAAATAGAATTTAATTAGACATAAATAGTTAAATTCTCTAATTTCTAAGTTAATCCCAAATAACCTTAATTTAATATATATTGAAGGACATGTCATGGTCATCACATATATAACATCAAATGACAATTTAAGTGATTAAAGCACTTAAAACAAAATTAATCAAGCTAATTAATTAATTTCCTCTAGATTTTTAAACAATTCCAAATGCCCTCAATTTAATCTATATTAGAGAACATGCCAAGGCCTATTTAAATAGCACATTACAACTTGATTTCATGCTTGATACAACCATGTGAATTAAACTTTCACTAAAAATAAATATTAAATAAAAGTTGTAATTCTTAATCGCATGAGCCAAATTTAATATATGTTAACCAACATATCCAAGCATAATTTCCTAGCATGTTACAATTCAATTCCAAGTCATACATATCCTTGAGCATTAAATCCTTTACAAAGAAATTAATTAAAATTAAATTCCAAAATTTATACAAAGCATGCATACAAGTTGTATAAGCATATATAATCATCAATACAACACAAATATAATCCTAAGACACCCCTACCTCAATTTGAGATGAAAATCTCAAAAATCATCAAAACGAAACGTCTCCGAATCCGACGAAACTCCTAGGTTTGTCGGGGACAAAAAGATCTATATGAATCTCCAAGAAGCCCCATGAAAATCCAAACTTGGCCTAAATCCCAAACTTAAAATTTGGTCAGAAATGGTTTCTAATAAAGGGTAATGGTAGAGCACGACGAGGCGGGCAACAAATGCAAAGGCCGAAGGATTTTCACTTAAGAAAAGTAGGTTAAAGGAGGAGAGAGAAGATGGAAGCTCCATGGGCATCCATGGCTTCCTTTGGTCGTGCAAGGAGAGGAGGAAGAAGAAGAAAATCTGATTTTTCTTCTTTAAGGCACCTATTTATAGTAAATCACAAAAAGTGCCCCGAAAGGGCCCCGCCGGGTCCGGAAAAGTGAATTTTGAGCAAGCGCACTCAAACGGAAAAACTCAGTGAATAA